CTCAGAGGGGTCGTCATGCATGTGATAGGGTGTGTGTGTTTATCAGTGTGTGTTGCTGCCCTCGGCCTCCATAACGCCATCTGCCCACTGGAGTGCAGAGCGTCACCTCCAACTCCCTTCAGGCCACTTCAGCGAGTCCAATCGTGGCTCAGAATTAATACTGTGCATAATCTAGACTCTGAAAGTTCTGTTTGCACGTTTAGAGATCAGATGGTTGTTCAACAACGGGTACAGACAGAACTACTATTGTGTGGGTGAGGGAAATTAAATGAGTTCAGACCACAGAGTGTAAAGAAGTGGCCGTACATTGGTTTGATGGCCATCGCCATCTTGGTTTTTTTTTAGCTGGAAGTGTCGTATTGGACGAGAGGGTTGAGCTGGAGAGGAGCGAGGCCCGACGGGGCAATACGGTTAGCATAACAAATGCTACCAGCTAACACTAGCACTAGCTAGCTCACTTGGTTAGCAAGGTGCTTCCCTAATTCTCGTCAACTGTGATCTTAATTGGGATATTTTGGCAAACAAAACCGGAAATAGTGTCTTTTTTTATCGATGTTTTACATATAACTGTTTTTATGTGTGAAACTTCTGATTTAATTATTTTTATACCGGAAAACTAGCCGCACAACTAAAACGCCCTCCTTCTATCACACCATTAGTCATACGAAGTAAATTAAATGAAATATAGCGGTGCAACCGACATTTTCATTGGGGCACATGTCGACATTCCAGATCCGTTGGCTGTATCTGAAGAAACAGAAAAATAGATATGAGTAAGACAGAAAGTGGAGCTGATGGGGGAGTGTTGGTAAAACATTTGACAGCGTAAATGCCTGGTGGCTTCCTCTGTCAAAGAGAGACATCTGGAAATGTCCCTTCACAGAACATTGGGATTTTGACAGCTTGAAATAATCCCTCTGGATGGCAAGTGCTTTATCCGTGAGCTGTTCTTCCCCGAGTCCTCCCTCCCTCCCCGTCTGTCTGTCTGTCTGTCTCTGTCTCTGTCTGCGGCAAAGCAAACAAAGAAATGGAGGCAGAGTAAAGTCGTGGCATTTATGGGATGAAAGCTTTTGCAGATAGCAACAAGTTTAAAAACACCCGAGATGAGCCGGGCCAACGAACTGTAGTTAGAAATGCACTGAAGCATCTGGTTGCACAGACCTCTGCCTCCAGTAACTGAAGTGTGTTGTTGGAACACTTGACCTTACGATGGCCTTATTCCATCACGTTAACCTGCTAGTGACCTCGGGAATAGTCCCCCCCCCCCCTCCTCACAGTTCAGGGCACTCTAGTGGCGGAGGAGTCTGAGTCCATGTGTGTCCTTCTTCATCGCTCTCTCTTCCTCATCGTCATCTCTGATACAAACATAAATACAACTCTACAATAAAGAAAAAGACTCTGAAGGTTTGTTGAGCTACATCAATTTCAAACTACTTCTCTCCATCTTGGTAATATGGTCATGCCACATGTTGTCGTACAGTTTTTAAAACACTATTAAAACATTTTAAATGATCAAATTAAACAATATTCACTGTATCCTAATACTATACAAAACACCTAGTATGCTAGTACAGGAATCTAGTGAGTTTGGAATGTGATGGTGTCGCTGAAAGATTTAAGAAAGTCAGCTTCGGATTTGGTGATAATAATTAATAAAATGATGCAGATTGGGAGTGAGATGGAGAGTAAACGTGCTTTCTTCGTCCTGTGCTGGAGTTTTTAGTTGCGTGCCAGTCAACACAGGTGCTATTCCTCTGTGAAATGAACATTTGGAGAGGCAACAAGCCGTGAAAGAGACTATAATCACCTCTGGTTCCCTCATTGCTCTGCAGACAGCCGGGTCTCTGCACCAGTCTCTCCTCTTTTACCTGATTAAGCTTGCTGGTTGTATACAGAGGACAGTCACATAGAGTTCAGAGAGACGACTCCACAAGTTCTGCAGTTATTTCATTTTTTAGGTGCATTAATTCATTATTTTATCCCTAGAACCACATGTTATGTCTCCTCTTAACCTGCATCTCTTATTGATCTTCAGACTTGACTTTCTGTTTTCAGTATCAGCCCCTTTTAGAAAGACCTCAACTTGAGTTGAACTGAGCTCAGAAAGTTGGTTTTAAATAAAGTCCAGGGGGACAGAGTCAGGAACTAATAACTAATAACAGTTTGAAGGTTTAAAAGCAAGTGGGACGTAAATACCTAGAACCTCTTTACCCCTCAGTGTTACTCTGGAGTTAATTTGTCTTTGTGGGATGTGAACATACATAGAAATATTATTTTTCACAAAGATAAACGTTATATAGGAAGCATTTTCTTCACTAAATTCTCTCCAGCTTCCTGATCAATGCTGCCCCCTGGTGGCAAAGTAATGTCACTGCTTCTGGTGGTTTACAGTGCAGCAAACACCAACATAAACCAGAGAGACTCTATACACACTATAGCCAACACTGTATGGAAGTCTAACATTTTATAAAGTACTTATTATAAACTTGTTTTTTATTTTATGCATCCCTTCTGTCTCTGGTTCCTTCTTGACTTCTGTTCTATAGAATACCAGCTCTTCATGATGCAATGAAAATACATTGATAATGTGAATGATTAGAAACACATTTACTCTCTTTGTACACACAATATAACTAACACTACAGTGAGCTTCTATCATTCTGAAAGACGTCCTAAACACTCGATGAATGTTATGATATAGAAAGCGTTCCTCCAGCTTCCTGGTCAATGCTGCCCCCTGGTGGCAAAGTGACGTCACTGCTTCTGGTGGTTTACGGTGCAGCAAACACCAACATAAACCAGAGAGACTCTATACACACTATAGCCAACACTGTATAGCGCCATTGTTCCTTTTGTAACTGAGGATGAGGAGAGTGAAAGAGAAAGAAGAGGAGATACAGGCAGGTCCAGAACTTCTCATCACTAAACTCTTATCTCCTCCAGAGGTTTACAGCCAGACTGCTTATTGACTAAAGCTCCAGAGCACAGATGGGACATCTAAGGATTCCTCCTTCAACTAGAGGTGCTCATCAATATTTTGTATTTTCTGCCGTCAGACAGGGTCATCGATCATCTGGGCGAAAGCCACGAGGACGATGAAAGAACATCAGGATAGACGCTCCAGTTGAAATGAGTTGTGAAGTTACTGCAGCTCTTCTGGACAACAGAACAGGAGTAAAAGTACCGAATGTTTTATTAAATAGCTGCATTGTTAACAGTAAAACGGTCAGATCTTTGCAACATAGACACAACAGCTCTTCCTCACCTTGAGCATTGTCATCATCATCATCAGCTCGCTCAGCTTGAACCTCGAGAGTGAAGACAAACTGCTCTTTGTGGCCTGTTCGGTCTTTACTCACCAGCGTGTTATTATCTAATTGTGCTAATTGAGCTGAGCAACGTTAGAGCGTCAGAGAAACACAGATTTTTAGCGTGAAGCTTCTTCATTCTGTGTTTCAGTGGTTTCAATCACAGGATCCTTTTGTTTCGTAGAGGAGACGTCTGTGATAAATACCTTGAACCATGAACACTGAATAACAACTAACTAAGACCTCCCATGATCCCACACTACTTCACCACATCACCGTCTTTTGTTTTGATTTTGAGACCCAAAGAAAATGACAATGTGCGTTTAAGAAATCAGTATGTTAAAATGTCTGTTTATTATCACGAGGGAAAGGATCTGTAGATGTATAGAAACTAGTTTGATTGAGTTTAAGTTTAGTCGACGGTGTCGTGGTTATTTTGTCTTGGTGGTGTTTTATTTGGGATTTCAGGGACCCGGACTCAACCGTTGACTGAACCCTCAAGGGCTCTCATGAACCTTGAAGAGCCTGTGTTACTTTTGTCTTTTCTAATTTGTCACTGAGGGAAATTCTCAATGAGAGAAAAAGGTTAAAAATGAGAGAATGATGTGGTTTGAATTGAGTCTTGAAGTTCATTGTTGCGCATGTGTGTTTTACAGGAAGGGAAGACAGGACTCTCAATAAATATGTCAGTATAGAGGAGTGATGTGCAGGTTACTTCACCGAAGTAACACCACATGTCAGTTTGTGGTTCTGGGGGAACAAAGGTAATTTAAAAGGTTTTGTAAAAGTAACATTACATTAAAGAACAGAGGATTTCCCTCTTAGAAGCACGTCGATAAGCAGCTGTAACACTAAAGAGTCGACGGTAAATACTCCAGTCAGTATTAGCACAGTGCACAGTGTTGGTTTATGAAGAGCTAATTGATTAAGCCCTGCTTTACTAAATCAACAGCTATGGGTACACATACTTGAGTTTTCCCGTTATTGTTTGCGTGTCACAACGTATTTCTTCATATGAAACAATATATAATATATATTTTACATCAGGAGAGTGGACAGATGCTCTACCAACTGACCCATCGACTCCATCTCATCATCTTTTTGTAGGCAGCTACAGATCGGTGGTAGTGAGTTAGATAGAAACTAAACATGGAACGAACATCTGTGTGATGGATGTCAGGAACTGGTGCGCTGTAAAAAAATAACTTTTACAAAGTTTTTCCTGCAGCTTAACAAAGCCCTCTCTTCTTTTCATAGGCTGTCTGTATTCTGGATCTATAGAAAAGAAGCTTCACCGGCTACCGGTTTATATCTGCACGAATATTAAAGAAAAGAAGCTGTGAAAAAAAAAAAAAAAGTCTGCCACACCCGTGATACGGGTGTGGCAGACTCTCTGAGCTCTTTTCAGATTAACGGCTGTTATTTAAGGAGATGGGGTTTAAAGGTTGTAAAGAGTAAAGTATAGTCCGTGAGAGTCCTGACGTGTGTTCGGTAAACACAGAGCCGCACTCAGTCGGTGCCGGTTTAACTCATTCACATTTGTACAGGGCACAGTCCGGCTGTTTTTGGCTGACAATGGAGCTTCTGATTCTCTATTAATACCAAAGTATAATAAATTGTAAATATAAATTCAGTAAAACAGAATTTAATATGTTTCAACAGTCTTTTATTCGAGATTTGGGCCAAAGTAGACTGAAGCACAGCGATTTAAGGCAACAAACTTTATTCGAAGACTTGACATTTTGACGCCAAGTCAACTGTCAAAATAAAAGTTGACTTATTTTGCATAGATTAACATATTTATAAATGTATACAAAATAATCTAAAACTATGCGCGAACCTGTAATTCACTTGTCAGGATAAAAGCATGATAAAGCTACAAACACAATGTAGATGCACTGAGTTTATCCCCAACAGGATTCATTCTCCCTTTTATGTTTGTGTGTGAACGGAAAGGTTCATTTCTGCAGCATCTTTCAACAACAAGGCAGTTCAGATAACTTTACAGAAGACCTTAATGTACAGCATGTTTGGCCCTGTGGAGGTTTGTTTTGAACAAACTAAAGTCGTGTTTACATTCGGTGTTACTGAACAGAATGCATTGTGGGTATCCTTCAGGTTTAACTAATGAGAGTTCATTCCAGCGGCCTTCTCCCCTTCCTCTTGCTGGTGCATTGATCTGTTTTGCATCGCCCGTGTGAAAAACTCTTAACCTTTAACTAAGAACACCACCCTGTAACCAACCCTTCTATTACAGAAATAGAAATGAATGGACCGCCATGATTTAAACAATAGTTTCAAATGAATGCATTTAATATAACATACAGGCTCCTAGTGTGATGAGCTAATCTCTTGCACAGAAAGACGTGAGCTAGTTTGAGCTTCTACCTTAAATTCAACGTGACCGTGTCCTGGAGCTAATATCACACGGCGTTCACACAAAAGTGCTTTTCTTTCAAACTTTGCCCCCCTCCCCCCCTCCAGCTGATAATCATGTACTCACCGAGCTACAGTAACGGTCAGTAATGTTGTCACCCTCAGCAAACAGGAAGTACTCCATCAGAGTGACACATGGTTCAGTAGAGACCTGCCAGCTTATTCAAATAAAAAGGAGACCGTTCACGTTAAAAACACGACCTTTGTTCTCATGAAATAACCGGAAAACAAAAAACTTTAAAGAAACGGTAACGAGAAGATTGTGACTCACGAGCTTATGGAAAGAAATGATGTACATCGCAACAGTAAAAGGTGACCGTCAATCATATGACGAAGGACCTGATATGAAAACATTGAGTGTGTGTGTGTGTGTGTGTGTGTGTGTGGGCATCGCTATAAACTGCAGTTCAGCTTCATGGAGGCTGCTGAATGTAAAGTACACAGAAACGCACTGCTTTGTTCGCTCGAGTCGAGCTTCTCCCATCGAGTCAGTCACAGGTCACCTACTGCTTTACGGCTGTGTAAACATGACCACCGGCCTGAGAGGAAATCGCATCGTGGACCATCAATTACAGTACGTTCATGGTTCATGTTGTCGAAGAACTGCACAGTATGCATTTAAAAAGGAAGACTTTTTTTGCACTCTTCCCAACAGACGTCATCTGACCAAAATAATCACAGGCTTGCAAATGATGGACAGGAGCTCCACGACGGTTATAGTATATCATTATAGTTAACTACAGTCCTTGCTGTGAAATATAATACATGTTTTCATCCACTCTGCATGTCACTACATATTGTAGGGACTCTACTAGTGAGATCAAAAACTTCTAAATGTAATGTGTTATACAGTAGATGTAGGAAGTAAACGGCTATTGTACTAATACATTAGATGTACATTTTCAATTTCAGAGTCATTCAAATTGATTTAGGACGGACCTATAAATAAATATTTATATATAAATAATATGTAGTTTGTTACTTTTCAAGAAGTCCTTTGGGTGTTTGTACACGAATAATAAAATGGGTCTCAAAGTGAAGTTTTCATTGTTTCTATAAGTTCTTTGGCTTCGTTTCTATGAGGACGACTTTAAATGCTTCTAGAATCACAGGATCGTGCTGAAACTGTGTGAAATAAAGACTTGTCTGCAGCAGTCGTGTAGGGTAGATGTGTGATACCGTAGCATCACAAGGCACATCGGTAACAATGGATATTGCATAAATGTAAACAGATTTGGATAAACAGATCTCTCATTTGCCGCCATAATCTCCGTTTGGAGCGGAGAGGCTTTGGACGTAGGCGACGGCGTCTGCGATGGTGAAGAATAAGATGGTACCTTCTCCTCCGTCGTATCCCCCTCTTTCCAGTGAGTCCAGTACTGAGGTATTGCACTGGGCCAGGACAACCTTGATCCGGAGTTCTGCGTAATCTTTGCGGACATCTTTCAGAGCGTTCACTCCGGCAGTGTCTAGAAACAAGACGGAGCTGCAGTCGATCACCACGCCGCGTAAGCTACGGGGCTTCTTGTGGAGCATCAGGGTTACAGTCGCTCCCTCCTCTTTACCGTCACTCTCTGACTTCATATTTGGGACTCCTGCGACCTCCTCCTGCTGCCGTTTGTTCTTCTTCTTGAACTTCATGAGCTGAGTTTTCTCCTTCACAGGATCGAGCCCCACACACTTGTAGAGAGATTTCTTGAACATGCTCTGGTTGGCGTAATAGATTGGAGCCCCGTACCTGAACACGGCCACGTCGGGATGCGTCCGGAGGCCGCGGTAAGAAGACAGGTCCTCGTAGTGCTCCCTGGTTGGAGCCCGGCCGAGCTCCAGGACCCGGGCTTGCTGGGTTCGGCCCAGGACGCTGAGGGCGGACACCAGAACCCCCACGAGCAGACCCAGCTCTGTGTTGACCAGCGCCGAGGTCGCCATGGTGGTCAGCCAGATGGCGGCGTCCACGCGGTTGACCCGCCACATGCCGGGAATGTCGAGGAACTTCCGTAAAGCTCCGCGCAGGTTGACCAGGATGATGACGGCTAACACACACCTGGAAAACACGCAGGAGAGGGCAAAGGTCAGGACATAGTGGTCTTCATGGAAGAAGAGTGAAAGCTTTAAAAGAAGACATTTGTTGGCTTCAAGGCCTTTAAACTGCCAATGGCTTTTTAAAGGATGACACTGACGGGAGATGGTTGAGAGTACCAGACATAAACCAGATTAACAGACCAAAAAGCGACACAAAGAAAGTCAAATAAAACATAATCTGGCCTCAGCAGCACGTGTGACATCATTGATGAAGACTTCCAATCATCAGCTGCAGTCACAGCAGACGGTGGTGCTCACACACGACTCTCCCAACAGGTGAGGAGTGTCTACCTCTGTGGTTTACAGTGAATTCATCTGCTTTAATTCGTCACTGAGATATTCTAACTTGCACAGCCTCTGCAGAGCGAGCCGAGTCAGCATTGACCCTCACCTACAGGTCATCTGTGTTTGTCTTTTCGTGGTCAACAAGATAAGAACATGAAGTACTCCTGAGAACTCGAAGGAAACCCGTCAATACTGAAACAAACTGAAACATTGGAATGTGAAGTTTTTTTTTTTTTTCTTTTCTTCAAATGAAACGTTGTGTTTGCCGAGTACCAACATGTGCGTAGCTCTTTGTTGCATGTGGCTGGTGATGTATGATCTAGAATCACGATGGTCCTCGAGGTGCATTTTACAGATTAGAGATAAATACGGACTCTGACGGAACAGCCCGACTGTTTACGTGCAAACTTACTGGTCGAGTTCAGGGTTCTCTCAGTTTAGGGCCTTTAATTAAACACCAGGAGCCTTTCTTTCTTTCAAAAAAAAAAAAAATTAAAAAAAATTAAAAAAATGTTGTGCAGTTTAAAAGGCAACCCGTTGTGCAGAACGGACATGTTTAAAACGTACGCTGTAGTCCGAACTTCATTACTCCTTTCCACCTCGACAAAGGCAGTGCAGACCGGATCCACTCCTTTCGTTCTTACCTTTCACAATAAAAGCCCGAGAAATTGTGTAACTCTTTATCAGAGGGAAATCAAACTCACTCAGAGCACTTTTCTAAAAGGAAACTCACTAAAATATCTTTACAGTATCTTAATCTTTACCACAGTTCACCTCAGACAGACTGACAGATGTTGTGGATCTATAGGATCAATAGTTGGTCCTCTTCCTGCACATCTATTAAAGCCTTGTTTAAATGTTAATACTGCTACCATCTAAAAGCTGGTTTTACTGTATGACTCTGTCGATGCAGGTCTTCTCTAACAACAATCTCCTCATATGGTATGCTTACTTTTGAAGGGAATAGAAGAGAGGTGCGATAACCAGCAGCACCAGCAGCAGAACAAGGGCACTGACCAGCCCAGAGACCTGAGTCTGGCACCCGGTGGACTCCTTCACGAGGGTCTTGGTCAGTGCAGCGCTGCTGGTGAAGCAGCGGAAGAACGACGGCAGGATGTTGCAGAGGCCGATGGCGTACATCTCCTGGTTGGCGTCCACCGTGTAGCCGTGCTTCTTGGCAAACATCTCCGACAGTGAGACGGTGATGGCGAATCCCACGATGGCGATGGAGAAGGCGTCGACGGCCACGTTGGGGATCAGAGTCCACATCGGCAGCTGGGGAGGGAGGAAGCCCGTCGGGATGTCGCCCGCCACGTCCGACCCGTAGTCGGTGTTGAAGTGTCCAAAGTGAGAGGCCAGTGTTGCTATTATCACCACGAAGAGCTCGAAGGGGATTGGAGCCTGGGAAAAGAAACAAAGACAACACACATCATTCTGACATCCTCACAGACAGTGGGACAACAAATGTAAAGTTTGGTCTAAGGCGGGGAAAGATAACGCTACATAAGTCAATAGTTTATCCTGTCTATGGTGGCCTTTTGAGGACAACCTAAGCTCACTCTTAGCTCTACATCCCATAGTAGTTTTAGCTTCAATTAAATGCTCAGCTCTGCTTTAGCTCAGCTCTGCTTTTGACCAACATACTACAACCATCAGCATGCTAATGTTAGCACTAACCTCAACATATCGCTGAGGCTGATGTGTATTTATGGTCAGATTCTCAGCCCATCCTTAACCACATCAAACATTTACCTTAACCCAAACATAAGCAGTTTAAATGATGTACTGGAGATTAATTATCTCAAAACATACACCTGATCATAAACCACATGTTGTATTGTGCCTTAACTCAACTTTCCGCTTTGGAGGGTCAATTACAAGTAGAACATGATATAAATCTCATTTCACACTGGATAGACGCTGTGGATTGACAGAGCGACCAAGTGATCAAATGGATGGATCGGTACGTTAAGTGCTTTCTCACTGAGCCAGTTCCTCTTCAATTTTAAATTTGAAGAGGAACTGGCTCTCCGGTCTACTGGAAGTAGCAGATTGAACAGGAACCTTTCCTTTGATTATAATGAACAAATAGTTGTGTCTACCTTCAGCTTGGCTTTGAAGCGATTGTTGAGCTCCTTGACGGGTATCAGGATGAGCAAACACACCAAACTGGTCACCAGGTCACACACGTTGGTGTTTGCCAGGTTGGCGAGCAAGCTGTACCAGGTCTTGAACAGAACGAACCAGCCTTGAGGCCTGGGGATCTTCAGGCCCAGAAGGTATTTGAACTGGGAAGTGAAGATGGTCAGGGAGGCTCCTGTAGCGAAGCCGCTGAGGAGGGAGTCCGAGAGGTAGACTGAGACGAAGCCGACCTGGAAGATGCCCATCAGCACCTGAGAGGAAGAGATAAGTAGTGCAGTTTAGAGATGCCAGCCATGGAGGAGAATAGATGCAGTAATCCTTCCTGCTCTCTTACCTGGTAAACCCCAGCAGTAAAGGTAAGTGTTGCTCCCACCGCGATAGCGTAGCAGCTCTTGTCACATCCCACCCCGACGGTGCCAGTCCCCAGGTCAGCCAGCAGGACGGCGCTATCGTTACCGCCGATGCCGCCGCCGCTCCCTGTGAGGTATCCTGCCAAAGCCAATTCCCGATCCACAACCTGACCCACGAGCAGGCAGAGCACCCCGAACACCCCCGCTGAGATGTGTCTGGAAGTGCCGAAGATCGCGTAGATGATCGAGGTGAAGAAAGAAGTGTAGAGACCGTATATGGGGTCCTGACTGGCCAATAGGGAGTAGGCTATGGACTGAGGGACCAGTAGGATCCCCACAATCAGCCCCGACATGGCGTCGCCCAGCAGCCATTCCCTGAGCTGGTAGCGTGGCAGCCATCTCAGGATGGGGACGAAGCCCAGTATTTTGGATTTAGCTTTCTTTGAGGTGCACACGCAGTGTTTCTTCAGACGATGCGACACAACGGACTGCCAGCTTTGGGCCGTTTCCTTCTCCACTCGTTCCAGAATGAGAGGCTGCTGCTGGTCCCTCTCGGCTCCATCTTCCTCTTCACTGTGAGTCATGATGGAGCCCTTATCTGTGGGGGGGTTGAAGAAAGAGAGTTTCATTTTAGTCATGAAATATAAGGACAACAAATATCCAACTCATCTGTTTGCACATCGTGAAAAAAACAACCACGAATGACGGTTTAGAAGCATTGAGGAAGCGAAGCGATGTGCTATTGTCACTGTTACAGGTCAGTGGGTGTCGGCTGAAATGACATTTTGCTGATGCTAAAAAAATGATTTCCTCCCATTGAAGTTGCCTCACAATACAGATATACACTTCCCCTTATTCATAGAATCCAGCTCGTGCTTTTAGTGACTCTCAGACAGAAGACTCCTTCATTACCGCCTTCACCAGTACTGATAAGAACCACACCAAGGACAGAGTTAACGGGAAGCTCAGGGAAAAGACAATGACATCCCATAACATATGTTATTATCTCTACACAGCATTATGTAAAGTGACTGGATGGTGATTTCTATTTTTCAGTTTGATTAATCATACTTTATGGTATTATTGTCCCCATTTGAATAAGCAAATACATGCAGCAAGCTTGCATTCGGTCATTTTTAGAAGGTCAAACATCTAAAAGTCGAGGTTGAAACTGGGTTAAGTTTGATTAAAAAGTCTGTTTTATTATTATTGGTTTATTTGATGCGGGACAGTGCACATTAATAAAAACATTGCTGTAAATGTGCCAAGAGGCTATTTTTCATCTGTAGTCCCAAGAGGGTTAAAAACAGAACAGAAGAATAAATTTAAAGTTATGCAATATTGATGCTTTACAAAGCGTACAGAAACAATGAAAGAAGAGAGAATATTAATATAAGTGTCGTCATTCAGGAGACTCTTGTACTACGTTATCAAGTACTAACAAGACACATTCAACACACACAAAGAATACAATGAGGGATAACCGTGAGAATAGAAACACGGACTAAAGACAAGATGCTGCTGCATTGTTAGACACTAAAACACCACGTCAGAGGAACAAAACATAAAGCATGCAGGTAGATATGAGGGTCGACGGACAGATGACAGTGAGGTGCAGTTCCAGTCTAGTGCTGACAGAGCTGGCTACTAACCCACCATCTCTTTAACTGAGGTTACATGAACTGTGTGTCTGTAGGGCTCTAGTGGTCTCTGGGATGGAGCTCCATTCTAGTGCAGCTTGTACAGAGAACGCAGACCGACTGAAAGCACTTTTCCTGAGTGAATGCAATCTCCTCCCGCTGCGCCTCCTGTGAGCCGACATGCGGGTGATCTTGTGATAAACTGTTTGAGAGGAGGAGAGGTCAACAAGCCATGTGTGATCTTCTCCATGAGACAGACACGCACACATTCAATCACGTTCTCCCGACTAAACAACTTCTATTGTTTTAGTTTAGTTTCCTGCTGTTCAAACATTACAACGATCATATGTGTGAAGAAGTCCCAACTCCTGTAACAAACAAAGCGCAATGCTGGATAAACAGCTGGTTATGGAACGTAGCTGATCACATTTAAAGCTTGTTTAACCAAATCAGGTTTACTGGAACTCCCACGTGTCATTTACACGTTCAGTGATTCAACACGTTAGTCTAGTTTTACTGCAATCACCATGAACGTCTCTGCAGACTTCACGCATTCTCAAGTATTATGACGTCATTATGATTACAGTGACGTTCGCCTGTTTAGTTTCCTTAAAGAGTGTCACATCAGCGATCTATAGCACGCTGAACACAGTTTAAGTTACTCGACCAGCATGAAGTCCGACCATGAATGAGCTCCATTGTAAACAAGTTGACAACGTGGACACCAGCTGGAGCTTCACCTGAAGTAAGTCAACAAGACAGCCCGCTGTCCAACAACAACAACAACAACAACAACACAAACACAATGTTGTTGTTTAATGTGCACAATACCTCACCTGAGCTCGAATCAGTCGCGGTTTGACGAAGTTAATTCAAAGTTGTGTTCCGAGCGTCATTCCGCCTCATTTTAAGCCGCAGCTCCGTGCGTAATGACGTGACACGGAAACGTGTGTTCTGCGTCACGTGACCCACTGAGACCAAGATGGGTGTGTTTCGAAAGATGCGTCACTTTGTAGCGAAATAAGACGCCACTCGATAAAACTACATTTACATTAATGAAGATATGAATGCTGTGTATGAAAGTTAGTGTGTGTGTGGTTATTGTCGTAAGATATAAATAAGTGAAACTTTATACGATAACATACTGGTGAAAACCTTCCAGAAACACACTTCTTTTTAAAGTCCCTGAACTATATAATCACGACTTTCCATTTCCACGACTGACTGAATCAAAACCTAAAACGCTGAATTCTTATTAACGCATACAACAGAGAAACACAGAGAGAAACATAGTGAGGTATCAATAGGAAGCTGTCCTCAGGTCTAATAAGCCAGTTCCTCACGTTACTGTTGGTTTTGGGGTTTCCAGAAATAGTGAGCGCTCCTGAAGTTATGAGTTCTTAAGATAAAATGTTAAGCAACTTGATTAACGACAAAGGTTGAAAATAATCAAAACGCTGGTCTAAACTTGTACAGCCACATATTATATAATCAACTGTTCCTCCATATGGTCTCCAACTGGTTTAACAGTGAAATAAGAAATGATGAGATGTAGTTTAAAATCCTCCAGCTCATGAATGCAACATAACTAACTAACTTTACCTGAAATAGCAGACACAAGTATAAACTAGTTGTCTCACATGGAAGCCTGTTGGCCCTTTTATTCCAGAGATTCTATTGTCAGGAATTACTAAAACAAATAAGTAATTTGCATTTAAACTCTCTTTTTTTTATTGATTTGTAAATATTTCTTCTCCTCCAGTTTACAGACTCTGACTGTTTGGATCTGCTCGTTTGAGATTTAACAGAATCTGAGTGTTTCTTTGAAGTGTAGAAATAAAAATACATCTATTATTACAATATATTCATCCGGCACAATAAAAATACGTTAAGGTATCTGCAGAAAAACAAAAGATGCAAACAAGTGGTTGGTAGGCCTATGTATATAATATATATATCTATAATATAATATGACACTGCACTAGAACCCACACGTGCTCAGGGTGTCTTGTCGTGAGACAGAAAATAAAAATCAACCCCAGGATGTGTCATTAAATATGACAAGGTATCGTAATCACCGTGTTGTAATTGGATGCAGGCTTATGTCCACACATGAGCATTTAAAAGCTTCCAGGTAATCCCCTTTCTGTTCTCAGACACCTGCAGGTTTGGAGAGCAGGACAGACGGATTACACACTTTGCTGGAGACAATACAAGGACTTTAACAGGTAGGACTGTTTACCTTTATTAGAATAATCTACACAATCCCAGATGTCTGTTCTATGCCATTATTGTGAAAAATGTATTAATGAATTTCCATTTGAAGTAACTTGAAACAGGAGTGGAAATATTAAAGTGACTCGTCCTGTTGTGAGAACAATCTGCAGAACGACGCGGTTCAATGAACTTGGCCTGAACATTGATGTTAAGATTATTTAAGGGGATGACACCCACTTTGCTTCTATCACAACCAACATGTTTTTCTTTCATAATTCATGTAATAATAGAGGAATGATTTTAAGAGTTGAAGACATAGAAATTGAAGTTGTTTATGCTAAAGAAAGGGGTTTTGTTTTTCATTTTGTATGCGTAGTTTACGTACATGTAGAATATGACAATAACAGATTTCGATATACTATGACATCATCCCTCCAGGATCGTTTGCTCTCTTTTAGTGAAACTGCGCCAGACGATGAGGAAATGTAGTTAAAGGAAACATTACACTTTATCATAAAACAAGTATTTTTGTCAAAAAAGTGCCACAATTTGTTGCCACCCCTTCATTTAATATTTGGCTCATCCCACATATTTCCTTTGGGGTTATGGTCGGGGAATTGTGGTTTTCTTGGCAAAAACATTTATTTTGCGTTCGGTGAATCTGAGATTTTGTCGTGTGCTTCGGATCGTTGTGTTGGACGGTCCGACCGCGGCCCTTTGTCTGGTTTTCATTTAATATCTGCTGGTGTTAGGATACATGGTGTCATGGACTTGGAGTCACTTGTCAGTTGAACCGTTCTCCTTACGGTGCGTGGAGTCTATATATACAGTCCGTACATCCTCTTCTTTACAGCTCCTGTAGCTCAAAACTTTTAATTATTGTCCCGAAACTGTGAGGAGATTTCCTCATATCTATTGCCTGATTCGTGCAGCTCAAACACCTTTCGTTGCACATTGCTTCTGTGCTCTCTGGTCTTTCCCATAGTGACGAACGACTAAGGATGCGATCCAATAGTCTTCTTTTTACTAAGGAAGGTTTATAAGTGGCAGCCATGATGGAAGCTGGTTGAATTCAATCCAATATATCTGTACAGCCCAAAACCATTTGCTGCAGAGGGCTTCACAAGCTGTGCAGCATTCAACATCCTCCGTCTTTGGACCCTCTCATCAGAAAAGGAAAAACTCAGTTCAATGCTTCCTTTGCTATCTCCTTTAGCAAAGAGTACACTGGACCATCCCTTACTAGAGTAAAGAAGATGATGTTGTCCCACGATTCCTTGTGGCAGACCCACATCACTAACATCCGTCTCTTCACACCATGGTTTTCTTTTTCTAATGACTTCTCCTTCACATGTTTCTTTGACCTCATGACGTTTTCCATCGAGCTCAAGGAAAAGTGTTCAGGAAAGGACACAGGACGTGATTCTTATTGGCCTGTGTCACCTCATATTCATACCCCAATGAAACAGGAAGTCCTTGATGTCCACTTTAGAGTTCCGAATCAAACAAGTGAACTTAAAATATCACTAGAAATATATTTCGCTTAGATTTTAATCTTAGCTTCTTTGTTTCTAGGAGTGCCATTACAGTAATGATGGCTGGTATGTTTCAGAGAAAAATATATAGATTTTATATAATTTCACTTAAATGATAAGGTAAGATGTTTGTGAATATGGTGAGCCTGTTTTCCTCTAAGGGTGCCACCAATTCTGAAGGACACTGTACATTCTAAAGTGTGTGGTAGTGACTAACCCACAGAGAATGATCCTCTTTCAGCTCCGTGTTTGGGTTTATCTGCAGTCTCGCAGCTCTTATCCACCCTGCTTCCAGCTGCAGCTGTTTTCAGCGAACAACCAATAAAACCTACCGTGCACCGCACAGAGAGCAGAAGACAATGTGAGCGACAGGCTGGTGAAGACAGTGGAATCTTTAGAGGTTTCAAAAGTCAGATATCTTTTGGAGGAGTTTGAGACCAAACGAAGCTGAGAGGAAAGTGATTATTGGACTTATATATGGATATAGTTGTTTTCCTTGTGTTGGATTTGTGGAAGAGGAAGGTTTTTGCTACGGTGTCAGTTTTTGGTTGAATTCCTTGCCTAGTAACAGTTCCTGAGTAATTGTTGAATGAAAGGTGTTTTGCGTTTCTGTTTCGAATCGTTCCCCGTCAGCAGCAGCCATGGTGGACGCAGCGGCAGCAGAGCAGTTCCTGGATGCCAACCCGCAGTTCGCCAAGCAGTACTACGACACCAACTTCAGGCCTAAGGTGGTCTCGGACCTGCTGGACAACAACCGGAAGGTGGCGATGGACATCAGCAAGTTCCACGACCTGACGGCGGTGGAGGAGAGCGAGGTCCTTTTCGACCTGATGCGGGACATCCAGGACAACCTGCAGATGGAGAAGTCCGTCTTCAACCTCATGAGACACCTCAGCTTCATGATGAGGGCCGACCGCATGAGCCTCTTCATGTACCGGCAGAGGAACGGAGTGGCCGAGCTGGCCACCAGGTGAGCAAGAAGATTTCTGCTCAAATTTGAAAAGTAGCTTCAGCTTCGAAGCTTCGTTCATAACGTCGGCATTCAAATATCAGTATTCCAATGCAGCGCAGCCGTTTGTTATTTATACTCATGTGTATTCATTCTGTTTCAATCTGGTATTTCTGCACGGTTGCAGATAAACATCAGGCTACGCTATTATTATATAAGTGTTATACTATTCGTACATTTATTGAAAAAAGATAGATGTAATCATTTCCAAACTTCACAACATGTTTTTATTTATTTAAATATTTAGATGGTTAGCATCACACAAAGGGAAGCAGCACTTATGAGGTATATTTATCAGAGAAAGATGATTTAATAATAATAAAAAAACGAATTTATTCTGGTAAATCCCTTATTTCGACTTGAGGATTTTGTTTTTTTTATGATTACATAAATGTCATAAAATGTGACGATAGACTTCTGAAGCTTCATTCAAAGACCTCAGTAGAATGAATTGAATGTAAAAAAAAACCATTCGGTGCATCCCTAAAAATGAACGTGACCTCTGGAACAGAGATATATAACATAATATTTCATTATATGACTGGATGAACTGCACACGTGTTCACAAGTTGGTCTGCAGTAACAGCTGATGACGGGAAACTAAACATTTTGGACGAAAATCAAATAAATAAAAGCAGAGGATGTTTTTATAAGTTTAATGTAAATGCTTTGATCCGTTTAACCTGCAGAACTCGTACAGTTCTAGAGTCAAACTGCTTCCTGTCTGTATCTGCACGTCCTCCGTCTGCTCATCGCCTGGAGAGGAAGCATTTCTGTGGCTTTGCCAGCACGGAGCACATTGCTGACGTTTCCAAACAAATCTTCAGGGAAACACATTGAATGAACACAGATGCTGTTTCTCACCAGAACTCTACTTCACATTCACACAGTTCCACACACTCACATGTGGCACCTTAGTTATAAAAGGGAACTTTCTTTTAAACGTTAATGTTTCATGCTCTACAACCAGACTCCAGCTCCAGTGATTTACTATGCAGCTGTAACTTGATGAGTGTAATTTGCATTTCTTTTCTCTAATGACTGACTTTTGTCTACATGGCAGCACTTTGAGATCACCTGTTTGAGTTAAAGGGTTTATCTTTACCTCCAGGTTATTTAACGTCAACAAAGACTCCCTGTTCGATGACTGCCTGGTGCCGCCCGACAGTGAGATCGTGTACCCGTTGGATATGGGCCTCGTGGGCCACGTGGCCTCCACCAAGAAGATGGTCAACATCGCTGATGTGTCTGAGGTACATACACACTGTTATTGTTTGTGTGTGTTTTAATGTTGACATGGGCATCAGAACCACGGTACTAGTTCAGGTTTTCACATACATAACCTTCCCTATCATACATTTAATTGGCATTTAAACAGTAAACATGTATTCCTACCTGTTAATTTTTCCCTAACTGTACTTCCTGTTGCATACAGGACAAAAATTAAACAGTGATGTCTACTATAACGAAGCTCCTTGGTAGCCGAGTGGTTATAGCACAAAGCCACATAACTGCATTTCTACACTTTCCTCGGTCCAATGAAGGCGAAAACGCCAAAACAATACTCTTAAAAGACCAAGAAACAGACAAGTCTCACTATTTAATTTAATACAAACTCCTCCTCAGTCCCAGGTTCATTAAATGGGTGTTTGCATTTTTAATCTGGTAGACCCCCTGAGAATGAAACATTTTACACTGTTTGAACCTGTTGACTTTCTCTAAATCTATCTGAGTAGCAAACGATTGATTCATGACCATGAAGTAAAAAAAAAAAATAGAAAATGTAAAGTTATACTCTTCTATGTAAAAACATTAAAATATAAATACTGCTCTTTGCTCAGTAAACATTGAAACCTGTTGCTGCGTCTCAGTTTGACCACCAGATGGCGACGTGACACCACAGTGTCTCGCTCCACTAATTCCCTCCAACCAAAGCCAGCTCAGTCTCATTACCAATAGCTTTGACATTTCAGAAATGTCTGGCGAGCTCATTCCCACGTAGTCTTCAGGTCCACCTGCAGGTCCACTGACTTCACGTCCGCCCCCCCCCCCCCCCCCCCCCCCCCCCCCCCCTCCTTCCTGAGAAAAGTCCTGCACCAACAGCTATTGTGACATTTACACTTAGGCAGCAGCCCACTCCGCATAACTGATGGGTTACAAGCCGTCCTCTGCATTAGTTCAATCTCTTCGTTTCGTGGCTGATTAGAAAGCTCAGCTGCCGATGAACGGACAAGACAGACCCGGGGTTGCTTGTTCCCGTTTGGGTTTTTATTTATCGGTTCTGCTGCCCGCAGAAACAAACATCCCCACGCTGTTCAACCCCCCCCCCCCCCCTCTGTCTGTCACGCCGAGGCCTCACACAAACGCATGAAAAGACATGATGGGACATATGGCAACTGGAACGATATCAAAGCCTCCAAGTCTCCCCAGTCGCGGCGAAAAGGAACAGCTAATGTTTCCATATAATTGGTTGGCTTTATGATGCTAATGCCCTGCGGATGGCCTTTGAGAGAAATGTAGAGACTGGGAATCACTGTCTCTCTGCGCTCTATTCCCATCCCACTCCACCAGTCAGGATTCCTGTAGGTAGAGAGTGGGGGATTATGTGTCACTGGGATTATGTTGTGAGTAACAGCTGGCCTCATTTCTCCCCCCTTCTTCTATCCCAGCCTCCTTCAGAGTGAATTTAATAATCACACAGTTTCACAAACTAATAACTCTGACCGTTTTTTGAGGTGTGGTATCTCCAGGGGTGAGTGTGTGAGGTGTGTGTGTGTGTGTGGGGGGGGGGGGGGGGGGG